TGACCTTAATCTCCCACTCCTTGTATTTGGCGATGGATAGATATTCACCACGAGATCATGCTTTCCTCAGAAAACCCAATTTGCCTAACGCTGATTCCCCAAGCAGAGTCAAGCCATCACTGATCTCCAAACCCGTAGGGTTCACTGGGAACCCCCAGTAAGCTCGAGCTAATGCAGTAATGATTCCCCCACACATAATTGCTCCGCAAGTTTTCAGTGCATCATTTTCAAGCATCTTACCCTCCATGTACCCAACACACAATGGTGTTCCAGTAACGAAACTGTGAATGTACCTGAGATCGGGTGTGTAGACACCACTGGCATTGGATCCCTTTCCCAAAACAGTGCGAGCCAGGTAGTCATGTACTAGTGGGATCACAGGGTCTCTGATTGATGCTCTCCTCGACGAAGTAGGATTGAAGTCCTTTCCATCTGCCACAATTGTCGTCCAAAACTCACTCAAGTTCTGCTTTTCATCTGGAATTTCATCTGCTGGACCATCGAAGAGAAGTGCTCGGTTTACTTGGCTCAAAGTGAGGGACTTGGTTTTCCCTGCCAAAGTACTCTGCAGCTTGCTCTCAACCCCATTATCCTCAAAGCTGTAGGTGGCCAAGAATGCTCTGGTGAGGTGTGGATAGGTGGGGAAGTGCAGCTCCGGGAATCGTGCCCAATTCATCCGGCGGAAGTATGTCATCACCTCCTCAGCCCGCTCGGTCTTCTGCAATGCTGCATAGTCCATGAACTGAGAAGGGGTGACCTCTCGTTTCATCAGATCGTCATATTCTTCTTTATGTTGCTGGAGCTGGACCGGTTGACCGAACGTCTTAGAGACGTCCTTTGGAAGAGAGGAAGCCGCCTTCTTCTTGCTTGCAACTAGGGTAGTACGACGTGGTGTCATGGAAGGTGCAGGTGCCGAAGAAGAAGAATTGGCTTCTGTGGTCGGGAAGATGAGCTCGGTTGTTGGAGACGACTCCTCTTCGCTGGCCTGCTCTCAGGTGATACAACTGGTGTTGAATATGGTAATCAAGGGTCTTCAGTAGGCATTTGTGCAGGCTGCTGTGGTGGAGATGGAGCTGGAGAAGTCATCTCAATAGTCCGGGACCGCATCGTGGGTCCAACCTGGCCGGTGATCACCCTGTGAAAGCGAGCGGGCATGTGTACCGCTTGAAGTTGTGGAGGAACTTCTGGAATTGGGTTGTCCTTGTCGGTCACCTTGTGGCTATCTTCAATCGTCCATGATCGGTAAACAATCTTCCCATCTTCACTTTGATCAGTGACTTTGAACTGCCTTGGTGGAGGGATATATCTACGACGTCCCATATCTGCAACCAAGAGTGCAAACTGGAAAACAACCTTCTAAACACTCCACTCTGCTCTTGAATCACCAAATTTGCACAAATCTGTACTCTATTTCCCACATTCCAGTTCACTGCTACCACAATCAGGAAATCCCCAAATTCTGCAACCCTCAAATCAACCAATTCTCATAAGTCACCCATAAATCTTCTGCAAATATCCTTCTAAACAGTAATAGCTCTTCAATTGCCCAATCAAGCAATCATCACACTCCAATTTCACATCAAATTCGAAATTGAGCAAAAACCCCAATATGAAGAACCCTAATTTTTTCTGTTCTTGAATCTTCAACTTCTAGGTTTTCAAATCAGACCTGGGGGAATAGTGTGATTGGAGCGGGTCGGAGGGGGGTGATGGACGTCGGCGACGACCGCCGGAGACGGCCGCCGGAGAGCTCGCCGCGAGCTGCTCGTCGGGGGACGCTACGACGCGGGGTCGGGTTTGGTCGCTGCCGCTGTTGTCGCGCGAACTATGGCGGAGGCTGGAGGCGGCACAGTCTGGGTCGTCGATGGTCTGGGGGCGGCCGGCGGAGAGGTAGAAGAAGAGAAGAGAAGCGGCGCTGGGTCGGCGGTCCCTGCTGCTCGGGCGAAGGAGGAAGGAAGGGGAATTCGGGGAAGGGGAAGGGGAAGGGGAAGGGGAGGGCGACAGCCCGACCCCAATTCGTTTTTTAATTTTTTTTTAAGTGAAACGCTGCGCTGCTGTGGTTTTTTTTTTTTTGAAACAGAAATTCTCCCTTTCAGTCCCCCCTTCCTCCTCAAAAATGCCAGATCAGTCCTCCCCCTTATTTCAGATTAGTCCTCCCCCCATTTGCGGTTTGCTTGTGCTCATTTTGCAGCCTCCCTGTGCAAAAAGCAGCCTGCCCGTGTACCTACAAAACACCAAATAATACCTTCATCAAGGCTTTTGGAGCTGAAATTTGGCGGAGAGCCTCTAGACACACCCTAAAACTAAAAAATAAAAAAAAATTGAAATAAAAACTCACCTTGGGTTGCCTCCCAAGAAGCGCTTGTTTTTCGTCGCTAGCTTGACGTAAAATAGCTCATTCCAGATGATATGTTGAGATTTCCAGGACGGAAACCCCTTCAATATAATGCTTGAGCCTCTGACCATTCACCTTAAATGCCCCTTGATCACCAAGAATCTCGATTGCACCATGTGGGTACACTTTGGTCACCGTAAATGGTCCGGACCACCTTGACTTCAATTTTCCAGGGAAGAGTTTAAGGCGTGAGTTGAAAAGTAATACCTTCTCTCCCACCTTGAACTCTCTTCTCAGTATGTGGTGATCGTGCCACTTCTTGGTTTTCTCCTTATAAATCCGGGCATTTTCATAGGCATTAAGCCTAATCTCGTCGAGCTCAATCAGTTGCAACAGGCGCTTCTCTCCAGCAGTTTTTAGATCAAAGTTCAGCTTCTTGATAGCCCAATACGCCTTATGCTCGAGCTCGACGGGCAAGTGGCAAGCCTTTCCAAACACCAATCTGTACGGAGACATGCCTAAAGGAGTCTTGAAAGCAGTCCGGTATGCCCAGAGTGAATCATCTAACTTCCTTGCCCAATCTTTCCTTGTTGAATTCACTGTCGTCTCCAGAATGTGTTTCAGTTCTCTGTTGGAAACTTCCACTTGCCCGCTGGTTTGTGGATGATAGGGTGTAGCCACTTGATGCTTAACCCCATATATGGCCAATAACGTGTTCAACTCCTTTCCCATGAAATGTGTGCCCTCGTCACTGATGAGAACTCGAGGGACTCCGAATCTAGTGAACACGTTCTTCCTCATGAAATTCACCACCGTCTTCGAGTCATTAGTGGGCAACGCCACTGCCTCCACCACTTGGATACATAGTCAACTACGACTAAGATATATTTGTTGTTGAAAGACGGTGGGAATGGCCCCATGAAATCCACTCCCCATACATCAAACATCTCTACCTCCAAAATCGAGGTCTGCGGCATCTCCATCCTTGCAGTCCACGTCATTTATTTTAAAAAAAAATAAAAAAAAATAAACAAAACTAAAAGGGAAAGGTGGAGACCAGCCCCCTTCTTCCTCCTGTGAAACCAACCCCCTCTTATCCCTTCCCCGAACAACTCCGCCCGATCCCTTGAACTGCCATACCCCCAATCAATTAACCACAACGCAGATTTGTTATTTCATCGAGCTGGAAATCGACTCGTTCGCCGGGAGCGGGGCGGAAACCTCGTCGGCGGCGAGGGACGACGAAGACGAGCTGATTCTGGAAGCAATCGCCAGGCTTCCGTCGGAGAAGCGGGACAGGTACGCGGTGCTGAGGAGGACCGAGACCATCGATTTGCATAAATTGAAAAAGACGGACAGAGAGCTGTTGGTGAAGAAGGCTCTGGCGACCAATTCGCAGGACAATTTCAAGCTGCTTTCGGCGATCAAGAGCCGGCTGGATCGGGTCGGGATCGAGGTGACGACGGTGGAGGTGAAAAGGTGGAGCGGCCGATGGATGCGGAGGGAAAGGTTTGAATGGGTTTGTGGACCACCTCACGGATTGGATCCGGTCCGGGAAGATGATTGATTGATGGGCGGCGGAGTTGTTCGGGGAAGGGGATACGAGGGGGTTGGGTTCACAGGAGGAAGAAGGGGGAATGAAAGAGATGGGTAGTGTGTGGTGGACCTGGTCTCCACCTTTCCCTTTTAGGTTTGTTTTTTTAATTATTTTTTTTTAACTTACTGACTTGAAATGTTCATAAAAAGGGAAATAAAAATAAATGAAGTGGACAAGCCACGTCAGAGTCCAATGCTGAGTCAGCAATGGAGAACATTGTTGACCGTCAAATCTGACAGTCAACCCGTCCCATAGGCCAAATTCGTCCGATAATTTGAAAAGTGGGCCAGAGATGTCTTATTTGAAAACTTGGGCCAGAAATGTCACTAACGCTATACTTCGTGCCAAACGAGGGTATTAACCCAATAATAAATAACGAGCTTATATTTCAGTAAAAAGAATCAAACTTCTGACCTAACAGTTTAGTCACTAAAAACACTTTGGTCATGGCATAGTGCAACAACAAACATGAACATAATCTTTCTTGCCAAAAGATCATTCAATTTAGAGATGAAAAAGATTCATATACAAACGGTTTACAATAACCGTAACCATGATTCAAAGTCGAACCTTTTGAAACATTGGCGACAAAAATAGAGAATTTCTAACTATCAAATAAGCTTCCTATAAACATGAACAAAATCCGAACGGATAAATTGCAAGTTTGGTCACTGGAATTACTAAAAAAATTCACGTTTGCCACCAGAATTAGTTTATTCCATTCATGGTCACTAAGATTAGTTCAACAGTTCAAGTTTGGTCACTCTCCGTTAACTTTATCTGACGTGGCAGTCAACTCTAAAAGTTGACCGTTAAATAAGTGACGTGGCAATTTAAAAAAATAAAATTTACACTTTATAATTTCCACGTCATTATCACTATAAATTATAAAAAAATAAAATCTGAAAATTATAATTATAATTCCGCTCGACGTCACTGACCGCTTTCTCCGATTCCACATCTGCGACTCGGGAAGCTCGAGTCTAACCAAGCTTTCTGTTCATAACCAACGCTGCCTTCTCCATCGCTCTACCTTCACCTCCATGAAAAAATTCCGGCAGATTCGACATGGTTTTCCCTCTCTGGTCCAATTACATGTTCGATTACGACACTCAACGAGACGCTAGCAGAGTAATTGACCGGGTCTCGGAGTTCATCGGGAAGGAGGTCGTCCCCGTCGGCCCGCTCGTGCGAGATGACTCCGACTCCGACAATAAAGTGGTGAAATGGCTGAACGAAAAAGACCCCTCGACGGCCGTGGCGTACATTTCATTCGGGAGTGAGTCGTATCTATCGGCAGGGAGAGGGAGGAACTAGGCCAGGCTCTGCTGATTCTGGTGACGAAAGGGCTGAATTTCATATGGGTTCTGAGGTTTTCGGAAGGGGAAGAGAAATGTCCGGCGGAAGCGCTGCCGGAAGGTTTCCTGGAGGCGGTGGGGGAGAGAGAATACGTGGCGGTGGTTTGGGCTCCGTAGCAGAGGATATTGAGGCACCGGAGGGTGGGCGGGTTCGTCAGCCACTGCGGGTTGAGCTCGGTATCGGAAGGGATGAAGTACGGAGTGCCGATGGTGGCGATGCCGCTGCAGAACGACCAGGGGACGAATGTGAGGTTGGTTGAGGAAGTTGGGGTCGAGATGAAGGGTTGATCGGATTGACAGGGGAGAGGTGGCGAGGGTGATTGAGCATGAGCAAGTTGTGGTGCAGAAATTGGTAGCGAAATTAGGGATAAGACAAGGTAGATTAGGGATTGTTTGGTGGAGAACGGGGATGGACTCAAGCTTCCTAAGTCGCAATGTGGAATGGAGAAGTCGGTGGTGGTCGAATTATAATTATAATTTTTAGGTTTTATTTATTTTTTATTTTATTGTGATAATGATGTGGAAATTATAAAAAAAAATATTTTTTATTTTTTTAAATTTCCACGTCACTTATTTAATGGTCAACTTTCAGAGTTGACTGCCACGTCAGATAAAGTTAACGGAGACTAACGGAGAGTAACCAAACTTGAACTGTTGAACTAATCTTAGTGACCATGAATGGAATAAACTAATTTTAGTGGCAAACATGAAATTTTTTAGTAATTCCAGTGACCAAACTTGCAATTTAGCCAAATCCGAACAGTCCGCTTTGAAGATGGTCCAGCCCATTTTTCACTGTGAGGCCCAAACCATAAATTTCAGTAAAGCCCACAACTCCTCAGTCAGATTCCCAAAACCAAAAATTACACAGAATTCCAACCGGGAAAAAACAAACCTAAACCAGCTTTCCCTCGCTTGCCTCGTTCTAGCCGGCGCTCACGGAGCAACCCTAGCCGCCGCCGCCCGCCGCGCCGTCGTCGTCAGCCACTCCACTCTCCGGTCACCGCTGCCTCTCATATGTACCGTCAGATCTTCTCTATCTCTCTCATTTTCCGTTTGTACCTTTCCTATGAATCACAAAGGGTTTATGAATTGGCTTGATATCCTAAACTATTCGCAGTCCTTTGTTTCTCTATCGAATGCATGGCTCCTCTGCTTGTTGGTCTTTGAATTGTTTCAAGCAAGCTCGGTGGCGATTTGATGGATCTTTCAACTTTGATTGAACGACTGAGGATGAGAATTACAAAGAACTGTTCTGTTTAGGATATCAATTTGAAACCTTTTTTGTTCTGCAGAAAATCATCATGACGGCTGTCAATGCTGAGTTAACCCGAGCGATTGGAGCAGCCATTAGGCCATCTTCGAGCAAAATCGATTTCTCCCATCGAGCTGTAGATAGGTGTGCGTTTAATCCTTCCTTCGAGGGACGCTCACTCCAAGCAGTAGGAGTTACTGGTGCAGCTAAAATCAGAGTCTTTGCCATGGGAAATGGAAGTGGGAGCGTAGATGGGTCTAGTGGCGGGCTGACTTACAAGGGTGCCGGTGTAGATATCGACGCTGGGACCGAACTCGTGAGGAGGATTGCTAAGATGGCCCCTGGAATTGGTGGTTTCGGTGGTCTCTTCCCCCTCGGTAAGGATGATTTGTTGTCATCGATAGAGCTAGCTTTACATGTGATGGATTCTCTTCAGCCGCATTAAGTTTGTTTCTGATAGTTTGAGTGTTGATGTTGTTTTACAGGGGATTCATATCTTGTTGCTGGTACAGATGGAGTGGGTACCAAATTGAAACTTGCTTTCGAGACAGGAATCCATGACACTATTGGCATCGATTTGGTAAACCTTTGAGTGAACCCATTTCACTGTTTGATTAAGGGTAATGGTGGTTTAACTGACTCCGTGGCTTCTGCCCTATTACAGGTTGCAATGAGTGTCAATGATATAGTCACTTCAGGGGCAAAACCTCTCTTCTTTCTTGATTACTTTGCAACTAGTCATCTTGATGTCGACCTGGCCGAAAAGGTAGCTATTAAGCTTTACTTAAACATTCATCTGATTTACCTGATTATTGCTGCGGATAAATAAAAGTGTTTCCTTTTTGAGTCTGGGGTAGGTTATTAGAGGCATTGTGGATGGCTGCCAACAATCTGATTGCGCGCTATTGGGAGGAGAGGTGAACTAAAGCCTATCTAGCTCTTGTTGGTTGAGCTATTGTGGGTGACATGAACCAACGAGCCTTTTGTGTTTCAGACTGCAGAGATGCCAGATTTCTATGCAGAGGGTGAATATGATCTCAGTGGTTTTGCAGTCGGCATTGTTAAGAAGGAGTCGGTCATTGATGGGAAGAACATTGTAGCTGGGGATGTTTTGATCGGATTACCATCTAGCGGAGTCCATTCTAATGGGTTTTCTCTTGTCAGAAGGTTGTCAATGATTTAGGAATGCTTACAAATTTTCGAGCCAATGTTTCCCTGGATAACATTTTCTAATAAGATATGTCCTCTTTGAACAGGGTGTTAGATCGAAGTGGTCTTTCTCTGAAGAACCAACTTCCTGGAAATGACCTTACTTTAGGTGAGGCTCTAATGGCCCCTACTGTCATATATGTCAAGCAGGTAGCTTTGTTCTCTCTCTCTCTCTCTCTCGTCCCTTCTCGAATGTGCACACTTACATTTCGTATATTGATGTGCTCTGCTCAAAATATAAATACAGGTGCTAGACATAATTGGTAAGGGAGGTGTAAAGGGCATAGCCCACATTACAGGAGGCGGTTTTACAGATAACATACCTAGAGTTTTCCCCAAAGGTCTTGGGGCTGCTATTTACAACAACTCCTGGGAAGTCCCACCCGTCTTTAAATGGATCCAAGATGTAAGATCTGGCCCGTAAATGCAATTTTCGAAACCTTTAAACCCATTTTAGGTCACGTTTGAGTCTCCTCTTTGCTCTCTCATCATGGCCGGCTTGTTTCAAACAGGCTGGAAACATAGAAGACGCAGAGATGAGACGAACATTCAACATGGGCATCGGGATGGTCCTAGTGGTGCCTAAGGAAGTAGGAAGAAGAATCGTCGAGGATGGAGAACACAAGGCGTGCCTAATTGGCGAGGTCGTAGGGACCGAAGGAGTAAGCTATTTATAACCGGCGGTGATAAACTCTTCGAGATTCCCTTCCACCTTGGATTCAGTTTCTTCCTTTCGAGTGGTTTCTGAAACGGGACCAAGATACCAAGAAGTTGCAGGCCGTTGATGTGCTTTGCTCGTACCTGAGGGGAATGCTCAATGATGTGTAGGGTAGCTAGATCTTCTTCACCTAGAATTTTGCATGTAGCTCAACGGGAGAGTTTCTGTAACAAGTCTTGAGGTGGAGAATGTCATAATTCTGGTTTTTGTAACTGTACCTGAGTTCCTATCGAAGGAATGAGTTTTTAATGATGCAATTGTGGTTCAAAATAAGAATTGCCGCCAAAAGGGAGGAGAAGAAGTTGTACCATTTGTAATTAACTCGAGATGAAATCATTATCATAAACTGAAAAAATCTGAAACAATATCCTACAAATTTAAACATATTACAATCGAAAGATCCCTTCAAACTCTTTTCATATCCCCTGATTCCTCTTCTAAATTGTTTGTTGCTTTCCGACCAGGACATAAAGGGCGTATACCATACCAGGAATGTATCCAAACATGGTCAGCAACAAGTCTATCCAGAATTCCACCTGCATCATCCCATTAGATACATTTTCAAAGCGTGAGATCATCGAAGAATCGAGACAGATGACACGAATGTACGAAAATGATAAGGATGTTGTCGACTCGAACGTTAAGCAAACATATACAGAACATTAAGAGAATTAGAGAAGGAACGAATAGCGAAATGAGTCAAACTTACGCACCCCACAGCCAAAACGAAGGAAGACGCCAACCGGTGGTATCAAAATGGCCAATATCACCTCTAGGAATGTCATTGAACCCATTCTCGCCGGTTTCTGTGCTATGTTCTTTGCCAAGGTGAACGATATTTTGTGCTATTAAATCTTTTATACGGAGATATGATGTAATGAACTTCTTGACCTATAAGAACAAGAAAGATGAGAGGTAAAGCATGAGGGAGGGTAGGAAGGAATGATGGAGGGAGGGAGGGAAGAAAGATAGCCAAAACCTCTCATTCTATGTGACATTGTAGATTGATAATATAGATTGTGATGATGTTTTCCTTTTAAAATAGATTGTGTTGTCACGATTGTGTTTGTTGCGATACTATTTTGTGTTTTCACGTTTACTTAGTATGCTTTAGAAAATTTCTCGACGCTTCCTTAATAGGTTCATTATAAATGATTCTTTTGGTTATAATATTGTCTATTTCGTGATATTGCGTTACACGTTTGTTCTACCGTATAAAAAATTTTAGGATCGAGAAGGCCTTTGAGAATGGTACTACTACATGACGTCTACCTTCTTTATTGTAAATTTTTAAATGTAATTTTTTTAATTGACCAAATTATGGGACCAGAAAAGTAAATTTGAATGCTGCAGAGGATTGATTGAGAAAAATGTACAATTTGGGGGATAAAAAATGAATCGACCCTTTTAAAACGAATATCTTATCTTTCAGCGAAAAAAGAAACAACAAAATAGCAGCTCTCCTGCCGGCAAGTGCCAATGGCAGAATCTGAGGTTTAACAGAGGGTTCTCTCGTAGGCCGTACTGTTCTTCGACACCCTCTCCCCTTTTCCCTTCACTCTCTCTTATCACCCACAAAGCGGAAACAAGTAATGGCTTCCACAGCGCCATTCTCAACTACATCTCAAATTCAGTACTCGGCATGGCCATCAAAACCCCCATCCAAATCCTCAAAACCCCACAAAAACCTTCACTTCCTCTCCAACCAAGCTCCCCTCACTCCTCTCTCAGCTTCCTCGTCTTCCTCTTCTTCATCCTCGTTCCCGGCTTCCCTCAATCCCAAATCCTCCAGGAATCTACATCTATTCAACCCATTAAACGATTCCAGCCACGACCATCTCCTCGAAGACCGCCAGTCACTCGAGAATCTCATGAATTTGGAATTGAGGGAAAGTGATCAAATTGAAGGGGGGAAAGATGAAAAGAGAGTGTTCATCCAAGACCCACCATGGATTTCAGCTCTGTTCCTGAAAGGTATGCAGAAATTAGCTCATCGGGAAGTGAGGGTGGCGTTCAAGGATATCGAGAAGAGGAAGTATAATTTGCTGAGGAGGAGGCAGATTAAGTATGAGACGGAGGCTTGGGAAGGAATGGCGGAGGAGTATAGGGGAATGGTTAGGGAGATGTGTGAGAAGAAGCTCGCGCCTAATTTGCCTTACGTCAAAGGTTTGTTCTTGGGATGGTTTGAACCGTTGAAGGAAGCTATTGAGAAGGAGCAGAAGTTGCAGAGGGGGAAGAAACATAAGACTGCTTTTTCGCCGCAGATTGAATCGTTGCCCGCGGATAAAATGGCGCTCATTGTTATGCATAAGATGATGGGGTTGCTGATGGTGGGGCACGAAGATGGGTGTATTCAGGTTGTTCAGGCTGCTGTACAAATTGGGATTGCCATCGAGCAGGAGGTAGGGTCCTTGTTCTGGGATTCCAGCTTCTACTAATACCATTTGCATTTTTTAATGAATAGATGCCTGTTGTATGTTTGATGGTTGAAGGCTTGAAGAAGTGAGTTTGAGGCGAGTTTTGGCTTTCTAGGACTGAAAGTGTAATGCTTTTACTCATGTCATGTATAGTATGATAGAAGTGTTTGAATTTTGATGCCCTGATCCTAGGGTCCATCTTTGATTAACAGAAGATTCCTACTAATGAGTAATGGCACATACTAATAATGACTTTTCAAGTTGTTGTTGTTAGATAGTGAGTAAGCTGTGTCTGTTTTGTGTAATTTCAGGTCAGGGTTCACAATTTCTTGGAGAAGGCCAAGAAGTACCAGAGGAACAGGACAGCTACTGATGATGAAGATGGCCAAAGAGTAGAGAAGGAGATACTTAGAAAACGTCTTAATAGCTTGATTAGGAGGAAAAAGCATGTGGAGGTGCAGAAGCTGGTGAAAAGCGATGAAATCAAACCTTGGGGACGAGATATACAGGCTAAGGTATGCTTCTTCTTCATCTTATTTATGTTCTTCCCCCTGAATGATCTGTTTGAATTCACTTCCCTATCGAGCCTTTATGACAGTTTAAGTTGTGAGTAGGACTTATTTTTGCCTGTCATGTTGCCTTTTTTTACGCATGTCTTGTTTGTGCAGCTGGGAAGTCGGCTCATACACCTCTTGACTGAGACAGCTTTTATACAAGCTCCAGTTGACCAGTTGTCAGATGCTCCACCAGATGTGCGACCTGCCTTTAGACATAGGTTCAAAAATTTGCCAAGGAGCCCAGGGTGAGAATCCTTATGTACTTTGCACGACCATCTACCAATCCATTTTGAAAAAGTTCATCGAAATGATCTTCTCTGATGTCCATGAATTAATCATTGTAGGCAAAAGATTATGAAGAGATATGGTGTTGTAGAGTGTGATCCGCTCATTCTTGCAGGGCTTGATGGATCTGTGAGTAAGATGACATTTCTGTTACTGAATGGTTGATTCTTGTACAGATCTTCTGAATGTGTTTATTTCTATGAATAGTGGCCAAAAGCCACTTCCATTAATAAACCCCACCAGTAGATGGTAGTTGAACTACTGCATTTGGTGAAGCACTTATAACTGTGTTTTCATTTGTATAAGACAATTTGCTCTAGAGTTCTCTATTATGGGTTTCTACTTCCCGGCTGTCAAATTCGGAGGCAATCTTGAATTACCAGGTCCTTGGCTGGTACCTTCTCTGTCACTCAAACTAATACACCATGCTTGTCATAATTCAGGCGAAGCATATGTTGGTTCCTTATTTTCCCATGCTGATTCCTCCCAAGAAATGGAGAAGGTATGTCTGGAACAGTTGTGATAATTGGTACAATATTGCAAATTATCTCACGGGTGGCTTATTCTTAACATGGTGTTTGTTGTTTCATTATGTAAGTCAAACACATTTACAGTGATATGTTTGTGATCTTCTTGCAGTCATGACAAAGGCGGGCATTTGTTCTTGCCTTCTTATGTCATGCGCACTCATGGATCAAGGAAGCAACAGGAGGCTCTTAAGGGGGTGCCGAGAAACCAAATGCAAAGAGTATTTGAGGTTAGAATCATTATCTTCTTTATGTTTTGGTTTAAATAGTTCTTTATTTCTCAGAAGTAAATAATCTTTGGACGAGTACCAAACTGAAGGACTAACAACATTTGTAATCATTGAAGTCTAGGTCCACCAATCAATCGATTCTACCATTGGATGTATTCTGCTACTTTTTACTAGTAGTATTTTTTGCTTTCTTATGTGGAACTTTGATGTTATTGGTTCATCAACAGGCCCTGGATACACTTGGTAACACGAAGTGGAGGGTGAACAGACAAGTACTTGATGTGGTAGAGACCATTTGGGAAAATGGTGGCAACATTGCAGGGTTGGTGGACCGGGCAGATGTGAGCTTCCTTGAACTTCCTTACTGTTGAAAACTAGTGATGGTGAAATGATTTATTGCTGCCTACTTAATGTCAGCAGCCATCAACTTCCTCAAAAGTTGGTCATCAATCTACCAGCATTCTTGGTGGAAAATCGGCCTCATTTTCTAGTTGTAGTTTTGCAAGCAATGGCTAGACTTAGCTTTCTTGACAAATAAATGATTTATAACAGACTGTTTAGATCAGAAACATCTGGCTAGCTGTTTAGAGCATCTTCTTGAATGGGACATTACTTGAGTTTCAGGTTCCCTTGCCTGAGAAACCAACCTCAGAAGATCCAACAGAACTTCAGCAGTGGAGATGGAGCGTGAGGAAAGCTAAAAAGATAAACCGAGAGAGACATTCTCAACGCTGTGACACTGAACTTAAACTTTCAGTGAGTTCCTCTATGCTCCCTTTTAATTGTTTGCTATGATAAAAAATACTGAGCATCGATCTACTTGAAACAGGTTGCTCAAAGACTGAAAGAGGAGGATGGCTTCTATTATCCTCACAATCTAGACTTCCGTGGTCGAGCATATCCAATGCATCCACATTTGACTCATCTGAGTTCTGACCTTTGTCGAGGAGTTCTTGAATTTGCTGAAGGAAGGCCATTGGGGAAGTCTGGGTTAAGTTGGCTAAAAGTCCATTTAGCAAACCTATATGGAGGTGGAGTTGAAAAGATGCCTCATGATGCGCGCCTGGGGTTTGTTGAGAATCATCTGGCTGATATATTTGATTCAGCACAGAACCCTGTTGATGGAAAGCGCTGGTGGTTAACCGCTGAAGACCCTTTCCAGTGCTTAGCTGCTTGTATTAATCTGTCTGAAGCTTTAATGAGTGAATCACCTCATTCTACAATTTCATACCTGCCAATTCACCAGGTAGATCCTGCATTGAAACCTGAAACAAGTTTGCAATATCTTGGGTTTCAAGCTCTTACAATGTGTGTAGTATTTAGACTTCTTTGTCGTGATGTTCCTGGATTCGTTAATTTTCTAGTAACCAATTTATTTCAATTTTTCTGAAGGAATTTTTCAACGACTTTATAAAAAAAATGGAAAAGAAAGTGACTTAATGCCGAACCAGCTAAAAAAAGAAAGTTCACGTTTTTTGTCCTTGTTACAAATTGTACTATGAAGTTCATTTGTTTGTTTGTTTATTTTTCCAGGATGGCTCATGTAATGGCTTACAGCACTACGCAGCTTTGGGAAGAGACACTGTATGTTTCCTGTTGCTGGTTATCTCCTGCATTTATTCTATTGATGATCATGTAGAAATCAAGTTATTTTCTCTCATCATGAATCTGTATTATTTATGCCTTCTGGATGTACTACATTCTCTGCATCTGCATATGCTCTCTGGCCCAATAATTTAATATTTTCATTTCCCCTTCTTTTCCAGCTGGAAGCAACAGCAGTTAACTTAGTAGCTGGAGAGAAACCAGCAGATGTTTATTCTGAGATTGCTGTTAGGTATTACCGATTTCACCATGCCTAAAGTTAATGCCTTTCCATTGAAAACAACACTGGCTTAGTTTTTTTCCAGAAATATGAACTGAACAATTGCTACTGTAGGGTCCATGAAATAATGGAAAGAGACAGCACTAGAGACCCTGCTACATATCCAAGTGCCTTATTAGCCAAGGCCTTGACGGGTCAGGTTTGTGTTTTTCTTACTCTTTGCTGTTCTGCATCATACTTTCATCATTGTGCTTTTGACACTGAAAATAGTTGATAGTATGCTAACTTTCAGGTAGATAGGAAATTAGTTAAACAGACAGTGATGACTTCTGTCTATGGTGTCACTTATGTTGGAGCCCGTGAGCAAATAAAAAGAAGATTAGAAGAGAAGGGTCATTTTACAGATGATAAACTGCTATTCAGCGCATCTTGTTATGCTGCCAAGGTAAGCAGCTTACTGCCCGTTAAATATCGTGTTTACTTGCTGGCTGAGTGAACATGGACCTCAGGACATAGCATAAAATAATTAGGTAGTTGATCATTGAGGTGGTTAGTTTCGTTTGGGCTGGTAGTCTCGGGTGGGTTAGGTCGGGTGTTACGGGTTTTCAGGTTTTGGTTAATTTTGGTCATTGCGATTCACTTTAGCTACATCTGTGCGTTAAGTGAATCATCCTCAAGCTTCCAACTGCTTGTGCAGGTGACATTGACTGCCTTAGGTGAGTTATTCCAAGCTGCACGTGACATCATGGGGTGGCTTGGTGATTGCGCGAAGGTGAGGTTCTTACTGATATTTCCGAGACGAAAGCTAAACAACTTTTGACTGTCTCTTGAACACATAAGATGGTGATTCTAACTTATTAACGATGTAGGTCATTGCTTCAGATGGGCAACCTGTGCGGTGGACGACTCCCCTAGGTCTCCCTGTTGTGCAACCATACTACAAGAGTGAACGTCATCTGGTGAGCATTATTTCTCAATTTTGTTTGTGTTTCTTAATGCTCATCCTGCTGTCATAATAATTTTATTGAGATATGATTGTACAATTAGTTAGATGGTGCATCTTTTCATGACAATTGAGTATTGAACTTAATATTGCAGATAAAAACTTCCCTCCAAGTTTTGGCCCTGCAGCAGGAGGGTACCACAGTGAGTGTAGACTATTATCACATTGATTTCGTGACTCAACTTTCCCTCTTAATGTTTATGCGAAATCAGCTGAATGCATTAATCTTCTGAATTTTGACACCAGGTGGAGGTACGGAAACAGAGAACTGCATTTCCACCGAATTTTGTGCACTCCCTTGATGGGTCGCACATGATGCTGACTGCTATGGCTTGTAGAGATGCCGATTTGCGTTTTGCAGGTTTACTTGCTCACTGTCAAGTGTTTGAGAAAGGGGCTTATGATTTGCAAATTTAGGAACACTTATTTCTGTTTCCTGCAATTTAACGCCTCATAAATCTGTTGTTTGTAATAGGGGTACATGATTCCTTCTGGACACATGCCTGTGATGTGGATTTGATGAACCGGCTGCTTCGTGAGAAATTCGTGGAGCTCTATAGTATGCCCATACTTGAAAATGTGAGTTGGTCATCAATCAAGATAATTTATACTTGTCATTTGTTTAAATGCTTTTTGTATTCTTTTTCTAATTCTATTGTTATCTTTATGTTGTGCAGTTGCATGAGAGCTTTCAGACAACGTATCCAGGACTGAAGTTCCCACCTCTTCCCAAGAGAGGGAACTTCGACTTGAACAAAGTGCTCAAATCACAATACTTCTTCAACTGAAATTCTTCCCTGGTCATTGTAACATACCGGGCTAACCTCAGATGAATTGCTGCTCATTCATGCAAAATCCCTATGAATGGCTCTAGGTTGTTGGCTGGAAACGATTCTTTGAACAGAATCAGGGTTCAAAGCTGGCAGTGGGAATCAGGAAAGGCATGGAGTGCTTCAACAGAAGCATGATGCCAGCTTTGCCTCCACTATCTTATAAAGGTTCCTGAGGGCCATAGGTTTGTTCTCATGCTTTGTTATGATCCAACAGGATGAAAGAGGGCCGACTCGCTCTCGAAATAGGCAGATTAAGAGAGATCTTGAGAATCTGAGAGCTTAGGACCTTTCTTCTTGAAGGTGAACTTCCTCCTCGGAGGACGGAGGGTGCCTTTACTGGGACCGGATATACGAACTAATGAACGGCGCCTGATCAACAGCTGAGTTTTAAGGCATGCTGTCGGGTGAGAAGGCATTGTGAAGACAGTAAAACGAAATCATACCAGATCAATAGAGTCAAAGATTAGTCTGCAGAGTGTTTGTAGCATGATTTTTGTTTCCAGTTTTATTTATTGGGCGGGCTAGAATGTAAATGAATATGGCTGTGAGCTTAGAAGCCACATTTTTGTAGCATAGCAAGTTTGTTCATTGACTGATTTGTCTCAACTATGCCATTAACTTATGAATGATCAAATTGGAATTGAAAGGAAATCTTGTATAAATTGCAGTCCTCAACTTTGTTTGAGTGCTCATTTTATTGGAATCATTTTGTGTTGTGGTTACACTGAGCTACATTCCTCTGAGATGAGGATTAAAGATTGACTGTACAAAACAAAGCAGTAAAAGCTACATCTTTCCATTGAACGTTTGGCTTCACAGCCCCATCTGCTTCATCCACAAAGACCATTTGACAGACTCCAAATACTTATCATTCTTCTGCAATGCAGCAATCAAGTTAGTGTATGTAATCTTATTAGGTTCTACCCCATTGTCCCTCATCTCCTTCACCAAACTGACTGCATTCTCAACCATTCCAGCAACCCCATAAGCCTTAATCAAAGTGTTGTAGCTACATATATCTGGTCTGAGTCCGCATTGTCTTAGTTCGGTCAGAACTCCTTCAACTTCATCGATCCATCCTCGTTCTCCATAAACGTTCAACATAATGTTGTAAGTGTAAGCATCTAATGAGCAGCTCGATTCTTTCATCCTTTGCAACACACTCTGAAAGCTCTCAGTCTGACCTTCTTTCCCGTATGCATCCAGCATGGAGTTGAATGCTTCAAGGGAAACTGAGAACCCGTCAAGCTGCATTGTCCGTACTGTTGCAGCCATCTTCTTGAAGTCTTTACTGCGGCCATAAGCAGCAATGATGGTATTGTAAGAGATGGCATCAACCAGACCTCGTTTCCTTGCCATTTGCAGCATCTCCTCGGCCTTTTCAAACTGCCCTGATCTTCCATAAATATTGAGCATAACATTGAAGGTAACGGTGTTAGGAACAAAGCCTTGGCGAATCATCTCGTTGAAGAGCCTGGAAAGCTCATCGACTGGTAGAGCATTGGCACAGCAGTTTATGACGCAGTTGTAAAGCTCCTGGTCCCAAACGATATCACTTTTCAAAAGGTTGTAGTACAGATCTTTTAACTTGCTCGACAAGCCAGTTCGTTGGTAGATTCGCAGCATGTCTAGGTAAAGATAAACATCTGGAACTACATCCTTTTGTTTCTCCATTGATTCCAGAACATCACAAGCTTGTTTTAAGGACCCAGATTTCACATACATCCTCACAACAATGTTGAATGCAATCAGATCCATGGCAATTCCTGAAGATTTCATCTTCAGATAAAGCTCTTCTCCTTCATCAAACCGACCCATTGTGGTGTAAATATCAATCATGGTGCAAGAAATGTGCAAGTTTGGCTGATTGAGATCAGATTTAGGCATCAGTGTATATATCTCAACAGCATTCTCAAGATTCCCCAGCTCCTTGCAAGAGCAAATCAGCAAATGATACAAGTTATCCTCAAAAACCCCATCCTTCCACCTCTTCTCTCTTAACACTTTCATGGCTTCATCCACCATATTGTTCTTCACATAAGCCATTACAACGATAGAACAAGAAGTTTGGTTTACCATAATATGCTGATAAAATGAGGAATGCAGAAGAATGGGGACTCTGTTCATCCTTCCTACTCTCTCATATGCTTTCAGCACAGTGCCAATGATCGAGGAATGCTGACATCTCATCTCCAGCATCTCGTCCAGAGTTCTAATTGCTCCTGCTTCATCGCCATGTGCAGCCTGCAGATTGATCAAGGTGTACAAATTTGACGAGTTAGGCCTGAAGCCCAATCTCTTCAGCTCATTGTAATACCATTTTGTCTCTTCATAGTTCCCCATTCGACCCCATCCTTCAATCATGGACCGATAGGTGGTCTCATCGGGCTGTAACCCTACATCTTCAATAGCTGAAAACAGGCGTTGAGTAGCAACCATGTCAGACACTTTCCCGTACCCAGTTATCAACGTGTTATATGCAATCACATTAGGAGGAAAACCAGCTTCCTGCATCGATTCAAACATCCGTTCAGCTTCTTCCAACTTTCCTCTTTGACTATAAGCATTGATCACCACCAACCAGTTCTCCAAATTCATCACCACATTGTCTTCCTTCATCATGAAATAGATAACTTCTTCCGCTTTATCGTACAAGCTCAAACGAGTATAAATTGTGATCATGGAAGAGTAAGCAGACTCACATTTGATACCAAAGCTTCTCATTTGGTTGAACACAAACTCTGCCTCTCTAACATTCCAACCCTTCTGATAAAGCCCCATGAGCATTCCAAACGTGGCAATGTTAGGCCGAATTTGAAGCTCCAGCATCATCTTGAACCATTTGCTGCCCAATTCGACATTGCCTTGCTTGCAACAAGCATAGATGAGTGTGTTGAATAGCCGGAAATCGAGGTGGGACCCACATTGATCAGTGGCTTCCTTGATTGTGGTTGATGCAGCTTGCCAATCTCTCCTTTTGGTGAAAACTCGGAGGACTAGATTGTAAGCAGACTGATTATACTCCAGCTTCTTGTTCTTCCTCATCCATTCGAAGAAATGCAGAGTTTTGTCGTCGGTGCTCTCTTTCTCCAGCCTTTTGAGAACGAAATTGCAGCTTTCTAAGCTCAAATCAGACTGAACAACACTGTAATTAACATCCAGCCCATCATCATACACAAAAAGATCATACTTTTCCTGCTTGCCATGATTCCTCTTAGAATCAGGACTAAACCCAACATGTTTCCTCCTTCCTTTGATTCCTTTCCCAACTGCACGATTATGAACACTCTCCTTCACCTTATCCTGCAATTCAGTCCCGATTTGGGGAGCTCTGGAAGGAGTGAATCTACTCGACGAAGCGGTAGTAGAAGCTCTATTGAAGCTGGTCACGTAGAAGAGTGAGCAATTAGCTGGGAACTGAAGTGGGTTTTTGGAAAGACTTGATCTTTCGGAATCGAAGGGCTCTAAGCAGATGGGAAGTTTCAGGGACGCCATTGTTAGAAGACGAAAAAGCTTTGGGCTTTCAAGGAAGATAATAGAGAGCTACAGATAAAGATGAAGATAACGAAAAGTAACGTACTTACCTTTGAAGGAGTGGGAAAGAAAGGAGGGAAGGAGGGGAAGAGATAATAGAAGTGGTGGACTTGGGCGAAGCAGTGGAGGGAAATCGCTCTCTTCAACACTTGGGGGATATTTTGTTTTCTTTGGCTGTTTCCTACTTTCCTTTTCAGCACACAGTGGGAGAGTAAGACCAAAACCTCGAGAGTGGCAAATGGCAATCACGTCACACCGACCAACAATTCCTTCGTCTGATTTTAGCAATACTGCACTATTTAAGCAGATTGTATCGCTTAAACCACATAACGATATTCAAGCTAGTAAGTTTTTGCTTGTGCGTCTCTAATATACTTCGAACTATTAACTTCATCGGTTTGATATTTGGTGTGATTTTACAATGGGTTTTGAGTTTGACCATCCAAAGCAAAACATTGGCTTCCATGGACTATGTACTCTGCAAAAAAAAAAAAAAAAAAAAACGTTCTTCAATAAGTGGGTTCCTTAATTTTTATCTGTAGCAAAAAATATATGTTCTTGCGATAAAGAAACAAAACTGCTCGAAATTTTGCATTTGGGCATACAAAGACTATTCTTTTCACACTATGCTTATTCACCAATAATGACAGTGAGACAAGGTATAAGCTTGGATAACTCAAGTCGTAACTTCAGGAAAGAAGCCTTGGCTCTCTCCAGAGATATCAACATTCATAATCATATGCCATTCACCAGTCAGCAGATCAAAATTTTCTTCCATTTCACAGATGAACAAGCTGGTAACCCTAGTGGAAGATAACACCAAACTCGAAAGAAAAGGAAAAGGCTATTCAAAAAGGAAAGTCAAATCCAGATGGTGGTGAAGGCTTCCTCAAGCGACCTCTTCCTGCTAAGCTCGGCAGTCCACCCGCCAGCTCTGCTCCCTCTTTCTGCTCGTAGCCTCATCATCTCTTCATCATCGTGCCCGTCGCCCCAAATTGAGCCTGGTTGGCCCATTGGAAGCGGCTGCCCAGTAGCCATTATTGGCGCGTACTGCCCTGTCGTCTCTATTCCGAGCATTGCTTGAGAGTTCTGGCAGAATTCACAAACAAGATGGGTTTTCATAAAGAGTTAACCCACATATACCATGGAATGCTTTCCAAAGCTTGTGGCATTCATCTGGCATCTAATAAAGATGTTCCACAGAATCAAGAGCATTAACTGAAGATTACCAAATGTACCGAAAGGAGAAGAGATCTAACTCACCAGTTCAGTATCTGTTTGCTGTGGAAGCCCCTTACATGCTGCAAGAGCTTTAGCATATTCCTCAGCCTGTTACAACAGGGTATAAAAACCAAGAACAAGATCAATGACTGCAGGCAAGGAAAAACACAAGAAAGCTTTTGGAGAACTGAAACAATTGGAACTTTTTACAAGACCTTCCGTGCTTGATTGAGCATTATTTGCTCCGCGTTCTCTATCTTGTATTCTTCTATTCTTGCTTTAATAGCTTCAGTAGCTTGGGTGTCCGGGTTTGACACCAAGTTAAAAACTTCCAACAGTAAACTTCCATCTTGTTAGGCCATGATAGTCACGTCTCAACCAACTAACCAAATAAGTACACAAGAGCTTACTCATGTCTTCCACTTCTTCCAAGTAATCATTGTACTCCGTCAGAGACGGGAAATCCTCTTCCCGCTTATTAAATCTGTTAGCAACAGATGCAAAGGGAATCAAATTAGTGTTTGAGTAGCATTCAGCAGCAACCAAACACAACTTTCCATTTGTTTCGATCTTTGCCTTATACAGACATGAACAGTGAAGACATTCCAACAAACGACACATGCTAACCAAATATCCCTATGAATCAAAATAACAAAAAGTTTGCTTCTCAAGCAATACATATCAAGGCCATCCAATGTGCAATAACAAGAGCCGGCACAAGTTCTGAGTCGATGTGCAAAACCAACAAGGCAAAGCTAGAGAAGGAGAACGTAGAACTCACATGCTGGAGATGTTTCTTCTAATGGCAATCTCCTTAGGATTATTATTTCCAACACCCATTTAGCTAGGTTCACCAGGGCTCTCTTTCCCTCTCCTGCGTCTCAATCAAGGTTAGTTCCCCTCTCTGGATAAAGCATAGCAAGCAAACTACTGGTGGCCTCACAAGTTGATTCATAAACCATGAAAAAAGATAGAGATGCTACCCATAGGGTAGACACTAGTACAGTTAATTCAAATCACAACTCTGATCAGATACCAGTAACCAAGATGATAGCTTATATGAAATATTCATTGTTTTCCATTCATGAGGTAAAAAGCTTTGGTGGGAACTGAAAGCTACAGTTCATCATTACCAAACATTTGGAAAAAAAAATCGAATAGCCATTAAATTATGAGGGGTTTTCATCATTAACCCAGAGCAGCTTCAGGAAATCCGAGCTTAACGAGGATTCTAACCTTGTGGATTTCCGGGGAAAGATGCAAGCTTTATCAAGTTTTAATCAGTGCCCATCTTAGACATCGTCGGCAGAGAAAACCCAGAGCCCGGTAAAGAAGAATCTCGAGCAAAGAGATTGCTCTGCTGCTGCCGCCGCCGCACCAATGGCTGTAATTGGGTCAGCGCCTCGCTTAATTTTCTGGAGAAGGAACGATCACTGGAAGGATTCGGCACGGATCGCATATTATTCCATTCCCGAATCGGGAGGAATTTCAGAATAAGAAGAATTTCAGAATAAGAAGAAGCCGGCCTAATATGAAGAGACAGCGACCGTGGCGGTGGCGCGACGGAGAGATAACCCGGCGTATCTAAACAAGCCGAGTGGGCCTATGATCACTGGGAACCGGATATGAGATTTGGGCTTTGCTGGCCCAAAAATGGGCCACCTCGGGCCCGTTAGAGGATTAGCTTTGCCAGTAGCCCTATAGCTTGACTAAGGTCTAAGGCTGTCTAATCAAATCGTATACCCCAAAGAAAAGTGTTCAATTTTCACAAAAAACTTGTGTTCAATTAAGTTATGAGATTGATTAAATTTTACTGCAAAAATCCATCGTGTTAGTTGTTTGTATTAGTTAAACCCATATTGGAATCAACATGATTTAACTATAATTTTTTACGGTTTAAACTATTTAGTTTCATTAAAGATTATATCAATAAAATAATCATTAAGAAAAAATAAAGAAATGGTAACCTCACCCTATGGTAGAGTGAGAGTGGTGTTACAAGTATAAAAAAAAATTAACTAACAAATTTTGTTTCATTAAACTTTTTTACCTCCGTGCTTTGTGACTCATGATCATGCACATCGTCACTATATATACTCAGTCGTGATCCCGAGGTAAAAAGCGACATTCTCTCACACAAGATACACTCTCTCTGTTTCAATCTAATTAAATTCACATTTTTCAGGCGAGAGATCAGATGGCGACGATTCGATGGGCTTCAACATTCAGACATCTCACCACCGTCGCCATAGTACTAACAACAATTTTACTATGGGGATCGAAGACGGCAAACGGGCTGCGGTTCGTGATCGACAGAGAAGAATGCTTCGCTCACAACGTCGACCAGGCGGATACGATCCACGTCTCATTCGTCGTCATCAAATCTGATTCCGTCTGGGATTACACCCAGGAGGGCGTTGATTTCAATGTGAGATCACCCACTCCAAAACTCTACTTAATCTTGATGCCTCTACTCTCTACGATTTCTTGATCTAATCGCGTGTGATGTGTATTATATTTGTTTACTTTAAACTTGCTCGTGTTAGTTGATCATTAGTGACGGGTTTTCCGCATGATGGCGATTAATTAGATAACAGCACCACCTGGAATTGTCGTCCACGAAATGAAAGACAAGACAAGTGAGAAGTATGAGTTTGTGGTTTACTACACAGGGGTTTACCGTTTCTGTTTCACCAACAAGTCTCCTTATCATGAAACCATTGATTTCGACGTCCATGTCTCTCACTTCACTTTCCATGACGAACATGCCAGAAATGGTACAACCTAACTAACTAACTAGCTATCTATGTATGTATGATATTACAAATTGATTATATTCTTTGAAAATCATGTATTCTACGCGTTGTTGTGGTGTTTCAGAGCATTTCTGGCCGTTGATGGAGGAGATAACCAAACTCGAGGAGGCGCTCTACAACATTCAGTTTGAACAACACTGGCTTGAGGCCGAAACAGAACGCCAAGCAAGAGGTAATTTCAAAAAAAAATACACGAGTATATAATTATACAATTTCCTTAAATCGTGTTTTTCGTTTATTTCGTATCAATCTCTATTTTCACAAGTAGTTTCGTTGATTCAAAAACCAAAGTACAGTCGTTCATCGTTGTACATATATGAAGAATTGAAGATCACATATTTGCCAACATGGAGAGTATTACTATGGTTTTTGGAGGTTCCGGTAGCGAATCTCATCACGTTCATCCAAATAACCTGTTTCTGACTCATGCAATGTGTTTTTCGATCTAAGCAGTGAACAATGACTTGAACCGAAGAGCAACTCATAAGGCGATGTTCGAATCAGTTGCACTTGTTGGATCGAGTTGCCTACAATTTTATCTTTTGCGGCGCTTGTTCGAAAGGAAGTTCGGTTACTGTAGAGTTTAGTCCTCCATATAGAGATTTGTTGTAGTGTTCACCTCTTCAGTAGCTTTGCTTACTGTGGCTGCAATGTACTTCGATCCTTTTCGTTGTTATAAGAGGAACAATCTAGTCCGACTCGATCTAGACGTTTAAAGTCGATCCAGTTTCGATTTAGCCAATTGATACCCGGCCCTAGAATTAATTGCAGCATACCAATCCGCAACAGATAAGGAAAAGTTCTGTTAAACTTCTTATTTCTAGTTCAAGTACATAATTCGTGAGTAAATGACATCCTCTCTAGTGTCCAAATCTGTGTGACTTCAGGAATGAAGTGCTGGGAAACAATTTGTTCTGCCATTTCCCGATGAATCGTTTCCAAGACTTCAAGAATCACTGACCAGTTCAAGAGAAGCAGCTGCCGGCATCGACGATCCAGCTAAGAAAGACTTGGCCAACGTGAGGGCTAGTTTTGGTCTGTGCAGGGGGACTTCATGGCCAGCTCCACGAACAGCAACAAATGTAAGTCCATCATATTCTTGAGTCCATCCTCCAACCTGCTAGCACAAGGGTTTCATTCGTCATAAAAATGGTGTGGCGAAAATCGAGGAAGAAGATACTCCGAGTGCGTGGAATGTGGTTTTACCTCTCCATCGTCATACCAAGCGCGCCAAGGTTTCACCGTTGGAAGCTTAAGAGCATCGATGGTGTACCGGGTGGATGTGACAGGGATGACTGTATCAGTGTCACCACTGTATGAAATAATGGAGGTTTAGATGATAAAAGGTTTATGCTTCTGGGGAGCAATGGGCCATTAACATGACTCGATTGCCCGTAACCCAATAAACTCATCACAAATTCGTCCCAACGCTCGCATTCGACACCTCTAGGACCATAGTCAATCTCCAACACACGAACTGACAAAACAGAATCTTGAAGTACCTGAACATCCATATGCGAAGCCCTGCTTGGATGAGCTCCTTATAGACATCAAGCACTGAACTTGGAGAATCCTTCCAATGCTCATTTATCAAGTTACTGCAAGAAAAGCATAAGAACATGACCAAAATATTGATAATGTCCATTAAGGCTTTAGTCACAGTTGGGTTTCTACTATGTCCTTAGGCTATGAAGCATACTTGCAAGTCTCCCATTTGGATGGTGCAAGTGCAGATGGAACATGGAGAGCCTCCTGAACCTCTCGCAGGTTGAAATAAGCAGTAGAGTGCTTCTCTGTGCAAGGGTCATATCTCTCTCTAACAGTGCCAATTACCTATCAACATTCAAACGGTAAGGTTTCTTCTCTCTTTACTATGAACAACACAGTAGGAAGGAGAAAAAAAAGAATATCGAAGGTGTTACGAACAACTACAGAGTTATATGTGTACTTACGCGCCTTCTTTTGAGCAGCTGGTTGGACTGGCTGATATTGGGAGTGCAGGGAGGGGTGAAGGCACTGTAAGGATCAATGTGTCCGACTTCTTGATCCGCAATATCAAGATATCGATTACAAGCATGTGACGAGTGGATGAAGGAAACGGAATCACAAGCATCATTGAGTTGCTTGTAGGTCTGATCAGAGATCATTCCAGCTGCCCATAAGAACTGGAAGACCCCCAAATGGTCGTGGTAATCATCTGTCAAAGCATTTCCCACCTGCATTATGCAAACCATGATCGACCGTCATTAGAAGTGGCTTATGATCAGAAAGACATGTTGCATGGCATTCATTAGGAGTGAGTAATCATTCCATACCATATATCCCTTAAGGTTAATTGTCTGGGACTTAGTGGCTTTGTTATGCCACACAACAGCTTGGCTTAGCTGAGGAACATAATGCCCTGGATCAAAGAGCCACCACATTCTCACAAGTTACATCCACAGACTTGGCTAGTAAAATGTAGACTAGAAATCAATGTACAACATTAGGAAGAGATATATGAAGTCATTCTACCAGCATAGCTCTCTCCTGTAATGTAAAAGTCCCTTCCTTTATACTCTGGGAAGCGCTCAAACCAGTTGATCAGAAACTCTAGGGAGTCCTCAGCTGCCAAAATGGAAGGACCATATTTTAACAGTGCACAGATTATTTACTTATGGTTTTGCAGCAGACCACTTAAGTACAAGAGAATTGAAACAGTACCAGTCCTTTTATCTCCACTTGTCACCATATCTGAGGATGTGTTTGAATATGAGTAACCCACTCCAGCAGGAGAATCAAGGAACAGAATGTTGGCAGCTACAAGGGAATAAGACGAGAAAGTTAGATAGACAATCACATGATAAATAACTGGTCAAGGAAGCCTCAAAATTTGAATGTAAACCCAAAATGTCTGTGTTATAGTACAATTGGGGAAATAGTGCCATGCAAAGGGATGTTCGCTACCAACAAAAGATACAGATCATAGATGCCCCCACAATGCCACCGATATCGTGCATTTTGGAGGAGCCAGTTCTTCGTAATAACTCGAGTAGTTGGAAGATACCCGAAAGAATTCCACCTTTATATTACACAGGACACCAGAAACGAACATTATTTACCTTGATTCCAGGAGTAAGGGTTGAGATAAAGTGAGGCACCATCAGGCTTCACATGAAATGGGCCAATTTCTTCAGCCAGACCATAAGCAATGGAGGAACACCCAGGTCCTAGAAAGAAAAAAAAAAAAAGAAACAGCCTTTCTGAGTCAGAAGTCAAAACCCACCAGCTAGAACACAATCAATCATCTCACTACCGTAAAAATGAAAACAATTGAACATTTAGAAGCTTGATTCACCTCCATTGAGCCAGAGTATGAGAGGCTTGGACTCAGGATCCTCAACAGCTTCAAAGAACCAGTAGAATAAAGCCCTCCCAGCCTTCTCATTCACTGTAACATACCCAGAATATTGGGCGAAGCTGACATCGAAGTCTTGACCTGGTAGCTCCAAAACCTTGTCTAGCTGCCTCTGGGCAGCTGAGTCCCCAAAATTTGCAGCAACAACAGCAGCATAAAGGCTAACTGCAACAATGAAGGTTTTGAGCCAGCCAATCCCCCAGCTGAGATTGGCCATGTTTTGAGAGAAAGAAGGGTACTGAGGTTTCCTTTGGTTGGGGAGAAGACTGACTCACCACTCAACAGTGGGGTGTTGTATAAAAAGAGAAGACTGTTGTTTGCAGCGAATGGCATTAAACAAAAGGGGATAAAAAGAAAGAACTCTCGAAAAGATGAAAACCCCATCAATGATAAATCCTCTACTTTGGGGAAAGGAGCCAACTTTGTTTGTTTTGTGGTCAGCCTTAAAGATGACGTCTTTGTCGATCTCTTCGAGCTTTTGCAAGCATTCCTCACGTGTTCCGCTGTTGAATGAAATGCACACGGTACTGGTAAATTGCAAAAACAGCTACTGAGTTTTGGAGATACTAACAAATTGGTCACTTATTTTATTTGATAAATTTTTATCATTGAATCTTGAAATAACTGAGATAATGGTCATTTTTTTCATTCTTTTCTACTCACCTTGTTCATATATGTGTGGATTTATCCAATTAGTAATGAAAAACGGTTTATATCGATCCTGCTATTTGTTATCGAGTAGGGCGAGAGAGGAATTTTGATGTTTTGAGTAATATAAATTATAATTAGGTTGAGTATTTGACTTGATTTAAATCTTTTTCCGATTAAAATGAGTGCTTTATACGAGATAATTAGACCCTTATATTCTGTTTTATGATGAAATTTGGAATTGACAAGTCAATTTTGATTATTTAAGTAGAATTTCGGAGTACATGTATGGAGAGATTACTATAATAACTATTCTAAATTTATGTAGAAGTTTGTTGAAAACTTAAAATCTTATTGCTGATTTTTTCAGCTACCCCAAAGTATAGGGACCATTTATGTGATTAACCCTCTTAAAATGCAATTTGTGTGAACAAACTAATCATCAAAACACAACAACTGATCATTGAGGTTGTTCCAAGTTTTCAATATATGTTAGATTAGTAGTCATGCAACTCCCTAATAAAAGTAATAAATGAGAAAAGCCAATGTACTATTAAAATACAAATTAGCTCTAGTGACTTTTTTTGGATCAACGAAATGAGAAGGGTGTTACTATTAGTCTATTACTCGTACCAAAATATCTTATTCTGTCATTCTAAAACAAACATATACAATTACATCAAATAACAAAATACAATCTACAAAACAACACCATATAAGAAAAACAACTCACACACAAAAACTCTTCATTGCTCACTTGTAGTCAAACTCCAACGATTTCATCGGAGGTCCCAATCATCGTCGTCATCTCCACACAAACACCCTTCAATGTTCACTCGTCAATCGAGCTGTGGGGTAGGGTTTTGGGGTGAGGGAGTTAGGGATTGCTTGTTTTTAGTGTTTAGGTTAGAAATTCGCACTATGGATAAATATGTCAATTTATAGTATTTTAAGGCGATAAAATTTTAATTTTAATGCATTGATTCTTGTAATACTTCTAAATATCAGTTGAGTTTGTACTATAACATTAAAAATATCGCTAATCCGATCTTGACCACTTAATCCCCTATGTTATCAACATCATAGCACCATGCCAACTACTCTTAAGAGTCCGACTCCTACTAGGACTATTATTCTTCATCTAAAGGCATAAATCCCAGAAACCTTTTCCTGTTCTTCCAAAACGTACTCCAACAAATTCAAACTCTAACCTTCTTGTTAACCTACTCCAACTCTCCCTCCTTACCCTAACGGCTCGCCGCCTCACCCGCCAAAAAAAATAACTTCCGCAGAACATCAATGGAAGACGGAGGAATCGCAGAGGACGACGGCTTCAGCGCACATGACCTTTTCAACCACCGCGCCAACGGCCCATCCTCGTACGAGTACGACGACGTCGTATTCCTCCCACCACCTCTCTCCTCATCCGCCGCCGCCGCCGTCTCCCTCGCCGCCGCCGTATCCCGCAACGTCCCCATCTCGTTCCCCTTCGTCGTCGTCGTCGGCCGTTCCACCGAGCTGATACGCTCCCTGAAATCCCTCCGCCGCCCCGAGAATCCCGCGCGGCGGATGGTCGCGGCGGCGATTGGGACGGAGGACGAGGCAGCGGAGAATCGGCTGGAGGAGTTGGTGGAAGCGGGCGCTGACGTGGTTGTTCTGGACGGCGGCGACACTCGGCGGCAGATTGAGATGATTAATCACGTGAAGCGGAAGTATCCCGATTTAGACGTGGTTGCCGGTGGGGACGTGGTGACGGCGAACCAGGCCCGGATTTTGATCGCCGCCGGCGCCGATGGGTTGAGAGTTGGGGCCCGGCGATGCCAGGTAATTTATATATTCACTAATTCGTTGTATGCAATGCAATCAAAATTGCTCTTTAAAATTTAAAAGTCTAGACTTTTACATTTCAAAAATCACCAAAAGGTCTGTTTTTTATGCATCAAAGTTATCCAAACACTTCCACATAGAATCGCGATTTTGACGGCATAAGTTACAGGCAAGTGCGGTGTACAAAGTGGCTGCCGTAGCAGCGCAAAGTGGCATCCCAGTAATGGCAGATGGGGTGGACATATCCAAGCCAGGCCACGTGGCGAAGGCTCTGCTTCTAGGGGCGTCTTCTGTACTGATCAAGAGCAGAGCCACTGGTGGTGCTGATCATGAAGCAGATGATCAAGTGGTGGAGAATCAGGAGGAGTTGATGCTCGACGCCATGGAAGTGGTGAAGCGAAGCTTGCGATGGTTGGGCGCCTCGTCGTTGGAATCGGCGCATCAGCGGCTGCACTCGCAGGATCTGAGGCTGGAGTTGGTCACGCTCGACACGCAGAGAAAGGAAGAGTTGATGAGGTTAAAAGCATCAGCATTTTGAAAGGGGATCGAAATAAGAACGAATCGTAGCTTCGTTACTAACAATTCGAGTTATTGACGCGAAATCGTTGGTTAATGTGATAGGTGTGGATTGTCATCAATTGTGTGTCTCAATATGGATAGTAGTTTGGAATGCTTTTGCTCCCCTGCCTCCGGGGACTCTGTTTTCTTGCTTGAGATCAAATTTCTTCAATTTCTCCTCGCTTTTGTTAAATCTCTGATTAATTGATAAGGTAATTACACATACAAATCACGATGGAACGGGACGGCTTTGATTACAACACCAAGAGTTGATCAATGAACATTACAGGCGTAATCAACGAACGAACGAAAGGGCGCAACGATAACAAGCAGATCACTCTCCGGGTAATGCACTGCACAAATGTGGAAGAACTCTGAAACACATATGAGGAGAGGTTTGGGGTTGGAAGGTGAACTGCCCATCAAAGGAGAAAGGAGAATTTCAATATTTGACCCTTTACCCCCTCCAACCTTTTTCATTAAAGAGGGACACTAGCTTCTGCTGGTCTCAAACACATCTGAAGGGGGAAATCTGCAGCAGATGAATACTTTCAGGCGAGAGATTTCCCATAAAGCTGAGCATAGACGCCTTTGGTCCGACGAACCACAACCAAGCTCACAACCATCGCGACAATGCAGAGACTACCCATGATCCCGAATGTCAAGGAGAAACATATTGAGCCCATGCACTTGAGGGGTTCCTCCTCCTGGAGAGGCTTTCCAAGCAATGCAGCTGAATTAAGTGTGTGGAGGCCAGCCTGTACCTCGGCGTAGTAGTCGTATATCCTGCTGGCAATGACACCGGAGAACACAAGAGAACCGGCAGGAGTCGACAGATTAAGGAAGTTGTACAAGGCGCCAAAGCTCTTCAACCCGAATAGCTCGGATACTGCTGCAGGCACGATCGCCCAATTGGCACCGTAGGTGAGCCCTATGACAATGCTCACCACATAAATCTGTCCCGGCCATCCCATGGCTGAGTAGAATAGTCCCATTGCCATGGTGAACTCTACCACAGCCATAGCCACCACTCTTGGATATGCAAATTTTCTGTACATGAAATCATAGTGTCCAGCTTTCGATTAGAAAACAAAAAGACAGTTGGAGAGAATTTGCATGTTTAATCAGAAGAGATTAGCATACAACCTTACAACGACTTCCGAGAAGTAGCCACCAGCGACACGACCGAGAAAGTTGCAAATGCTCATCATTGAGACATAGATATTGGCATCATCGTAACCCAGAGACTGACAAATCTGACCCAGGTTGTCAATGACAGTAAGTCCAGATCCAGCAGCAAGAACAAGAGAGAACCAGATAAGCAAGAAATCAGCCTTCACTAATGCCTGCATTAATGTGAAGTCTTCCCCTCTACGTGGGCCTTTTCTCTGCTTCACCCTCACAGCTCCTTCTGCTGCAGCTTGGTATAGCTTAGCTTGCAAGTGAGCCATTCTTTTATTCCTCTCCGATATGGAGAGAGAACCCCCCTCGCCATTGTCATCTTCGCTTTCACTTAAGACGAAGCTCCCTAATCGCTCTGGCGGATGTCTAGTTGCTACTTGTTTTTCTACCTTGGAAAGAAGGGGATCAACTATTGAGGACTCTGGCTCAGAGAAGAAAACCAACTTGATTGGAATCAGAACAGGAAGTAACACGATAACGAGCAATATGACAGTGAGCAACGTAACCATATTGTGGCTCAGATCATAAATATCATTCACTATCAAGATGCCAAACAAATATGCTGCAAGAACAACGCAAACAGCGTAGACAAATGAGAAGCTTGAACCGTCTGATTCTCTCGCTTGCTTGTGGCCCTCAACAGGCCTAACGAAGAACATCAGCGCAATAGCCACCATGGTTGGGCCAACTGCCACCATGAAGATCAACGATGAATGGTCGGGAATATTGATCATGGCATAAACTTGAGTCAGAATTGCACCACTCAACCCAGCGAATCCTTTCAGCATCCCAACAACAGGACCACGGTGCTTGGGGAAGTTCTGCACACTAGAAACCATATCAGCTGTGTTGAAGTAGGTCTCGCCATTCGTTCCAACGAATATAGCTGCACAAAGCTGCAAACCAGAATTTTTACTGTCAGCATTGCTGCAAAAACAACATGAATCCCCAAGCAGAAACCCTTTTTCCCACAAAGCACCATAACCAAGTCAACTCTGAATTAGGCCTGCACTAAACTTCAAGGTAGACAGAAACTACAGAACAAGTGAATCATCAATCAGACGCATCATTTACAACAAAGTTGAGCTCCTGTTGCACAAACCCAGTAGAGAACATCTACTCCTAACCAGAACAGAAACCAAAGGAACAACCATCTTCCAAAAGACTTAGCCCAGCCATACAAAGACAAATTAAACAAACATTTCAAAAATTCGGTGGAGGGTCAACATCACAGTGGGGTACAGCATTAGAATACCAGTTGGATGAATCTCCCCGGATGATCCCACAATTAACTCATTGACTCCATAGAGAAGTTCATCTTCAAATTCCCCACGCAAGTCATTAATTGAACTTGAGACAATTCAACAATGAACCACTAATTCACAAACGCCGCCGGAAACCGAAATGAATGGAATAGAGAGACAATCACACAACCAGAGGGAACTCACCACCCAGAGAGGGAGAGGAGGCAATCTGTGGGTGACAATCAGCCAAACCAAGCCATACCCAAGAAAGCTCTGGACAGCACCAATCAGCAGCACAACCCAGGCGGGCAGAATCTCGATCAAACTCCCGGGCAAAACCCCGATACTGTCACCCAAATCCTTGGCGACTCCAAGCAAGGCCACCTGCTTCTGGTTGTAACCCATGGTGGCCTTGATCACAGGCGAAATGCTCCCAAACATGTACCCAATCCCTGCGCAAGATTGTACCCACATTGAGCAGACGAAGACCAGCCATCTGTTGTTGGCAAAGGCCCTGAATTTCTCGTTCATAGAGCTGCTCCGCCTGCTGCCTTCCCCTCCTTCCATGGTTTTCCCCCCTTTTGGGCAGAAGGGATCGGTGGAGAGACGATGGTGGGTGTAAAGCTCTGTTATTTTCTACTTCTGCTCCTTCCTTTTTTGTTCTTACATGGAGTGGTACTTTGAACTTTGATGTAGGACGGGAGAGAGAGGGAGAGAGGGAGGAAGGGAGAGATGGGATTCGTACGGTAGAGAGAGAGATAAACACCCAACCCACCAGCTAAGTTGGCGCGGGTCTACTCTGTCTATTCTATACCACTGCTTATAAACAACAACCTGTGAAATTTTGGCCACTATGAATAAACAAGAGGACCCATTTTTTTTTTTGTGAGGGCACAGAGTCGGGTTTTATTGATAAATCAAAATATCTCGGCCTTTGCTGTTACTACTCTCAGCCAGAATCGGAAATCATATGCAGAAATAGAGGATTGTTATAAGGTCATTTTCGTTATAAAGATGTGCAGTTCGATTTACATGTTGAAGAGATAAAAATTGAACGTGATGAAAGCTGATTATGATGGTACTGTAACAATATGCACGATGAGGATGGTGTGAGAGTTGTTTGGCTGTTGAATCAGCGGATTAGCGAATCACTTGAGAATCTCCCTCAATAATATAGGAATTTGACAGTACCAGACTACTTGCCCATCATGTAGGGGTGGGCACGCGGGTGGTTAATCTGTGGATTAATATCGATCCACCCGCAAATAACCCGACCCACACGTAGTGGGTGATTGATGTGGGTGGATTGCGGATTGATAAATCTTTCACCCGCACTTATGTGGATGGGTGGTGGGTGGATTGCGGGTCACCCATATGACTCGCATCCTATTTCTACATGAAAAATGTGGTTTCTTATAGTATCAAATATTTATCATATTTTTGAATTGCACTACAGTCCGACCATATACTTCAAAAGGTGGAGAATAAATAATAATTTTGACTACTACTATTGGTCATTGTGTTGTGCAATATCCATTAGATATTGGATATTGGTATGCAAATTATTGTTAATAACCATTAAATATTGGGATGCAAACTATAAATTATTAAGAGTATCAAAATTAGATATTATTGATATAGTCTTACTAATTTGCTATGAACTTATTATAAATGTTAGTCAACTTTCTTAATGGCTAGATGGAGAATTGCTTTTGCGGGTTGACCCGTGACCCAACCGCACTCATCCGCCACCCACCCAACCCAACCCGCAGAAGTATGTGAGTGGATTGCGGGTAGGGGTGGCTATACGGTCCGGTCCGGTTAAATTGACCCAAATTAATCCGGTCGAGTCCGGTTTTTTTGAAAATATAAGGACCGAAGATTGGATTGGATACAGTCCGGTCTTGACCCGGTCCGGTCCCAATTCGGTCTTGATTTTATATTGATATTGTGGGAATTTGAGTGGCCTAAGGCCTAAAAGGGTGAGGAGTTGGTTAAGTTTTGCACTAAGTACAAAGGTTTGTGACCGTTTATGCAAATCACCCTTAAGTTTTGGGTGTTGAGCTCTTTTATCCGGTCTTTATCCGGTTTTTTACCTCAAATCTAAGCCCAAAGATTGGATTGGATTGTTTACTATCCAGTCCCGGTCCAGTCTCGGTCCGGGTTATACGGTCCGGTTTCCGGTTTTTCATCCGGTCCCGGTCCAAATAGCCAGCCCTAATTGCGGGACACAATTATTCCAACCTGCTAGTAAGCGGGTGGGTCAATTTGAAACCAAAACCCACCCAACCCGCACGTTGCCCACCCCTACCATCATGAATATATATAAAAAAAAATTATTGATCGAGAGATTATTGTTTGATTAATTATTTAATTAGAAACCAAAACGTGATTAGTTGTTGTGCTTTTGGAGTTTAGCCTTTTTCCATGGCTGCCGGTAGTAGGTAATAACTAATAACACAAGCGACAAGTGGAGATATGAGATCATCATCTGCTAATGATATATTGATATTATAAAAAACAAAAGGTGATCTAATCTGTTTAGTTTTATAGTGAAAATGTGTTTAGTGTTTTGTATACTGTTCTAATGGGAAGGATGGTAGGTGGGATAATTCATAATTGCCACAACGTCTCCATGGCAGGTTCGGCCCAATCGTCAGTGGGCTAGCAAGCCTGGACCGAG